AGGATGTAAGTAAACAATCACATCAATGTCATAAAATAGCATGCAGTAAAAACTTAAAAATTTCGCACACAGCAAAAAAGTAAATACCGGCCTAGACTAAGAATAGATTTGGTTGTCCTAGCAAACCATCTAAAGTGTCTTAGGTAGGTTGTATAGTTTCGATATGTCCTAGGTAGGATAATTAGTTAGGGTTATTTGATGTTCTCGTTGGTTAAAAGGTTTGAGGAAGAATTTTAATTAAAGTTTAAATATTAATGATTTAAAATTTTAGGATATATTTTAAAATTTTAAATGGATACCACCTTTATTGCTTATCGAGGCCGTGAGTTTATTTCATCTTTCTTGGGGCTAATTTAATAGCCTTGTAGGCCCGAGTTATCTAGTGGTACTTGATATAGTTAAATGATTTGATTCAATTAAAGTTTGAAGGTTAATGAATTTTTATTAAAGTTGGTTGATTGTTGGTTTTAAGATTGATTACATATTTCTGGAATTTTAAAGTGATTTTTTAAATTTTAAGAATTTTATGGATTATTTTAATTATTTAATTAAGGGATCAAAGGTTGACTTTTTAATTAAAAGTAATTTCTAAAAAATTAGTATTTTTATAAAATACTAGACCTTAGGATGATTTGTTAAACAATAAGTTTGTAGAATTTGGAAATTTCTATATATTGTTATGGTTTTTCAAAGTTTGATAAATTAATTGAATTTCAAAATTATTTAAATAAGTGTGTTTTAATATTTTGAGTCCAAATGAACTCCAAACCTTTTGAAATCAACTCCAAAAGTTAGGAATGACATAATGAGAGATTTTCAAGTGTTTGGAAATTTTTTGGAAATATAGTTATCTTTAATTTATTAAATTAATTAAATATTAAATTTTAATTAAAATTGAATTAAGCTTAATTTTGTTATCAAATTAAAGTGGTTTTATTTTTCATTGATTAAGGATTGAATTATGGTTAGTTTGATGTATTATTAGTACTTTTTGAATTTAAAATTGATTTATTATATTTTTTAGAAGTTTTAAAGCTTAATTAAAGGTTTAAACTTAAGTAAATTAATTAAAATGGCTTAATAGTTTCAAAAATCAATGAGAATAATTCTATAGGTTGTATATATCACCAACTTCAAGTGTTCAAAGTTTATAGTCATGATGATGTGTGTCCTAATTTTTAAAATTAATCTATATTTTCTAGACAAATTCCTTAATTATTGTCCTTAACGATGTTACAAAGTTAATTAGGTTTAAATTTAAGTTTCTAATCCTTGAACTATATATATATATATATATGCATAAACAATCAGATTCAATTCATTCCTAGATTAGGAAGGCTAAAATTGGGTGTGTGCATCCTAACGATGCAATTAGATTTTGACTTAAGTAATTACAATTTGATTAGTGAAAAAAAAAATTATATAATCATAATCATCCATTAATACTATTTATTAAAGTTGAACCTATGTTTAAAAGTTTTAATGGGACCTCTCATTCTTGAAGAATTTAAATAGTCATATAATGTTTAAAATTATTTTTAAAAAATATAGTTAATATATACTGCATTTATATTATTCAGAAAATAGAGGTTTTGAAATTAAGAAATAAAAATATATTTAGAATAATTTCAGAAATGTTTTATTTTATCTTGAAAAGTCCATTTATTTTTTTAATGATAATGTTAAAATAATATTTAATTTTGATAAAAAATAATTTAACTTAATATATTTATAAATATTTAGTTAAATGTAGAAAAATAAAGTATAATTTAATATACATTAGATTTTAAATTTCAAAATTAATTTTATTAGAATATGTTAAATTCTAAAAATTTTAAAGATATAATTTATATTTTTTTTTATTTAAAATTAAAGTTTTGTAATAATTTTTGAAGTTTTGATGTTAATTAAAATATTTAAAATAATTTAAAGATTGAGTCTAAAATTAAATAATTCTTAAATTAATTTAATTAAAGTCGATAATAATTTAAAATAAAGTTTAAAATATATTTTATTTGAAATATTTGAAATTAATTTAAATGTAATTTAAATTAATTATGAATTAAATATTTAAATGATTAATTAATTAGAAATTATTTAAAATATATAAAATATATCTTAAATTACTTCAAATTAAAATTAAAAATATATATATTTTAAAAATAATTATTTATTTATCTAAAATAGTTTAATATAAATTTTAGATTTTTTTTATTTTAAAATGACTTAAAAATAAAATTTTAAATCATTTTAAATAACTCGCGGTTGGATGCCACATGGCAAAGGACGATTGGTCGGTTCAAACCATGGTGGTGGTGAAAATTATTGGAAATGATTGCGCCGCCACGTAATCATTACCGGTTGATTGAAAAAGTGCGTTGGTCCCATGCGCTTTCACTAACTCACAGCAATGGATCTCGCCTGCCAATGGATCACCCACAGTTAAAACCTACAGCTCTGATTGAGCTGGACGAAATGCGAAACTATGGGATCAACCACGTAGTTGGATAGAACTATAGAGAGAGTTAATCTAGACCATTGATCAGACGATCAACGGTCCAGAAAGCATGCAATTTATACACGCAGTGAACTAAAACCCTAATCAAAGAAATGGCTCATTCGCTCGTTTTCCTCAACCATTTTACTTGAAATTTTAAACGTAGAACTCTTTAATGAAGAGCATTAAAGGGGACTATTTTTTAAAGTTTAAATGCACTTAACAGAGAGGTATTTAAATATAAATAATGTGACCTAGATCTAGATATTTTGAGAGATTTTACCGATGGATTTTGGATTTTTTTGTTTCTATGAGCTTATAGACTGTCCACACTTAAATTTGCTGAAGACACCAAGGTTGGAGAAGCTACAAATCGAGCTAGAGAGGACTTTGACATGGTTAGCCTTTGGTTTGGCCTGAAACCCGCTGCTACCAGCGTCCAAATGCCGGATTTTGGCCTAGGGGATGTTGAGGGGTTGGTTAAAAGCTTGAAAGAGAAAAGAGCTTGGTTGGAGAGGCTGAGTTTTGAGATTGAGAGAGAGAGAGAGAGAGAGAGAGAGAGAGAGAGAGAGAGAGTAAAGAAAATATAATGAGACTCCTTTTTAGTCTTTTTTGCCCTATTCATCCTTCTTTAGGCCAAAGGGACGACTAGGATTGACTGGATGGAGTCCCTAATGCCCTCTACGTGTGCTGGAGTTGTTGGGATGGCATGGAATCAAAGGACAAGAGGACATCCCAGGTGTAAAGGGATTTTGTCCTTGAAAGCACATGGGTTCAATTAGAACCTTTTGATCCTAGATCAAAGGTTAGGAAATGTCTTGATAGCATTCTAGAAGTTGATTAAGACTAATGGAGTGGTCTAAGAAAGGATAGGATTAGTCTTAAATGGGTTTTGACCATCTTTGACCCATCCCAAACCTTGATTTGACTATTTGACCAGTCCACTTTCCATATGGACTGATGATGTGGCATAGAAAGATGCCTTGAATGTTGGGATGGTAGGTTGGAAGGCGTTTAATGGCTAGGGATGAAGCTTGAGGTGTTTTGACCAAGTTTGACTCCTCCAAAGCCTTGGTTTGACTGTTTGCCTGGTACCCATGCCACATGGCAATTGAGGTGGAATGGGAGGGGACTTGAGAGATAATTGGATACATTAGGCCTAATGTCAAAGGAAAGTGACAGGTATTCAATAAGGTTTGACCACTTAAAGCCCCATGCAAAGCATTTTGTTGACTGTTTGACTGGTCAAGCAGCAACCTATGCTTAGGTGGACATGGGGAAAGCACTATTTACTGGTTGAGGTGATTTGGAGGTTTGAGGCTTGCAAGTTGGAGTTTGAATGCATGGAAAGGAATTTGAGTTATTTTGACCTAGTCTTGATGTGTTGACTTTGTCAACTTAACTTGAGCTTTACCCATGTTGAATCAAAGAAGGTTCAAAGTATTGAATGGTGTGTGCTTGAAGTCTCTTGAAACAAATTGAATAGAAGGACACATGAAAGATAAGATTTGACTATGAGTTTGGATTTGACTAAGTTAAACTCAAAGTGATTTGACTTCAAAAGGATTTGAATATATTTGAGTGATATTTAGAAATGGATTTGAATCATCCACATCATTCACAATCAATGGAATGATTGTAAATGGATGGATGAGATTGAAGCTAAATAGGATGCTAGAATGATTAAGTCTGGGTTGATTGGATTTGAATTACCCATATCATTTATGATCATTTGGGATGATCATGAGTGATAGGATATGATTGAAGTTTGATAGAAGGTTGGATCAAATATTCAAGTCTGGATTAAGCTGAAGATTAAATTGCCTAGGAGTCTAGATAACTTTTGAGGTTAAATTGATCTGAGGCCGGGATTGGTCCAAGTGACTTCATACAAAAATGAGGTCAACACCTAGGTGCCTCTCTTTTGCTATCTTGAGGTCTATTATTTTGTCTCTCTCTCTCTCTCTCTTTTAGCTTGACTTGGGGTGCTGCTTCTTTTATGGTTGTTTGTTTCTTAGTAGCTATGGTATCAAATTTTATTTTTCTGTGAATTCTATGTGTTGCCTTGGGTTGTTTTGTTAGCTTCGTTCCTGATTCTTCTTTGTCCAGATCGTCTATTCTACTCCTGTCATCTCTAGTTTAATGTGGGCTCAAGTTTATGCTTATGGAATTATCTTATTTTTTGGCCCGCTCTTTGTTTTCATTTGTTCTTGTCTCCTCTGTGCTCTTTGTTTGGGTTATCCTTTGCGTTGCTCAATTTTCTTCCTTGAAGGTTGTGCTCGGTTGGCTCGCGCTGTTCTGTATCTTTGCAGGTCCTTCTCTGATGGTACATGGTTTCTTAGTGGCATCCTGGTGGATCAGCGGTACATATGACCCCATTCAAATTTGCATAAGAAAAAAAAAGATATTAACACCATCGATTAAAGGGGTTCTCGCAATGAAACTTTGAACTATAAATATCACTTGAAATTAAAGAGATATATCACTTGGAAGTCGTTGATTTTATCTAAAGGGGAAATATTCGAGCAACGATTTTATTTATACATTCACATTACTTATTCCTATCACGAAGGGTTTTTGCGACCAAAATAAAATTTCAATCCTTCATTTTTCAAGCAGAACTATCACAAATATATTTACCCAAATATCAGTATTATGATACATATTAAATTAAATTTCAATAATTAAATAGATCAAAATTTAAATCTATTTAATTATTAAGCTAAACTAGCATACATATATAATTTAAGTATATAAATGAATATAATTTCAAAGAGTTCACACAGGCGGCACTGGATTAATCGCCACCGCTCCCTCCAACATTTGCGTCACCTGCCCCATCGTTGGCCTCATAGCCGGTTCTTCTTGCACGCACCACAAAGCCACCATCACAAACCTCTGCACCCTCCCCATATCCGCCATGGCCTCCTCATCTCCCTCCACAAGAGCATCAATCCGCCCATCATTATAACAATCACTTACCCAAAAAGTAAGCAGGGCTTTCTCCTCGTCCATATCCTTCTCCACATTCCTCCTACAAAACAATATCTCCAAAACCATCACCCCGAAACTATAAACATCCACCTTGGCACTTATCCCCGCGTTCCTGAACCATTCCGGTGCAACATAACCCTTCGTTCCCCTTATCCCTGTGTTTGTCCTCGTCTGATCTTTTTTAAGAAGCTTTGCAAGCCCAAAGTCTGAAATCCTTGGGACAAAGTTGACATCGAGGAGGACGTTCTGCGGCTTTATGTCACAGTGAATGATCTGCGTGCTACATTCTTCATGTAAATAACGAAGTCCCCTTGCAATCCCAAGGATGATGCCCACTCTCTGTTCCCATGGCGGTCGAATTCCGTTGAAGAGGAAGCTAGCAAGGGAGCCGTTGCTCATGTACTCATAGACAAGAAGCCTGTTCGTGTCTTGGTTGCAGTAGCCAAGGAGACGCACGAGGTTCTTATGATGAGTTTGGCAGATAGATTTTACCTCGTTAGCAAATTCCTTATCAATCTCCGGCTGGAAGTCACGTAGCTTCTTAACGGCTAGGTAGGGGGTCCCGGTGAGCTCAGGACCGAGATATCCTTTATAAACAGTGCCACATGCTCCTCTTCCGAGCTCTTCACCGAAGCTTTTGGTAGCTTCTTCGAGCTCTTTGTATGTGAATGCCTTAAGATTCGGCCCCAAGATGCTGTCTTTAAGCTGATGCCTCTGTTTCCTTTTGCTCGCACGAAGAAACATGTAGGTTAGATATAAAACAATGATGTTCAGTAAAACCGAGCCGCCCAGAGCTAGAAAGCCAGGCAGGAGCCAGATTCTCTTCTTGGTAACGTTGACGATTGGCAGGTTATCGTAGTTGCCTAGTTTCATGAAAGCGGTTCCATTGACGTTGCTCGCTTTCACCCCATTGGATAATGGAAGCTTCTTTTTCCAGCAATTGTTTTGTCCATCGTAAATGGCCGTGGCGCAGAAGCAATCTTCCAAACACTGTTGCTCGCAGTCCGCTTCTGTCATGGGATTCAAGCGGTCATAATCGTTTCCCCAGAAGTTGATATTGTCCACCCTCACCATTTGAAACCCCTCGCTCTGGACTCCGGAGATGCAGCTGGGCATGGTGAAGGTGTGCTTGCAGCCCATGTAAGCCCTGTTCGGGTCGATCCACGTATAACCCACAGGGCACTGGCACACGACCTTCTTATTCGTATCATAGGTGCAATAGCTATTGAAGCCGCAAACGCCGCTTCCGAGTGAGGTAATCATATTCGTGCAGATGTCGGCGGGCTTGAAATCCATGATCACCCACTCTGCGGCAGCGCCGGCGATGGCCGAAGGCTTTGGGTGGACGTAATGGCGGAAGACCCCGTCAGAGTCGAGGGTTCCTCGGTGGTAGAAATCGGAGGTTGATTTCGTCGTTGCTGAGGTCAAAGTAGTTAGTAATGCTTTTGTTGGCGAGATCAGGTGGATGCTTCCAGAGACGTCGAAGACGAGACTGCAGTTAAAATGGGTTATAAACATTTTTATACTAAAAAGTTGTTATAAAACAGTAAGAAAATAATTCAAAATAAAATTTTAATGACCAACAAAATAAATAAAAGTGATCAGAAAATTAATAGATCCATTGAAAATATCTTCCAGAGGGGTATTAATGAAGATGATAAAATAGATCTTACAGATTCCATTTAATTCAAATTCTTCCGAGTAGAGCGTAGTGAAAATAATGATTGTTATTTTCATTTCGAAAGAAGCATTCTTAACTTATTATCATTCAACTTGGTGTAAAAAAAAAAGGCCAGAGATAACCAAGAATTTTAACTTCACAGAACTCAGCTAATTTATACCTTTACCTGGAATTGGAAGTGTTGGTGCCAGAGGTCCAGTAAGAATTGTACTGGAATCCGGTGGGTACGGCAACGAGATAAAAGACGAGGTCGCCGTCCGGCTGTACAGCGAGCTTAAACTTTCCATCGCTGAAATCATCTTCGCTAAGCTTCGCCACAAGTTTGGAATTGGGGCTTAGGGTTTGGGTGGGGAGAATGGTGTCTGTCGGATCGGAAAAGCTCTCCCACAAGACCGAGTGGTCAGAGGCAACAAGAACGAAGTCGCCGGTGTCGAGCATGGCGGCATAGGAAGCAGCCGATGAGCCGGGGTTCCAGACTTCGGTTCCAGAGGGATCTCGGAGAGAGAGCCGTCCGTCGGAGGTAAGGATGACGGATGAATTGGGAGGAAGGGGATTGTCTCTGTTTGGGGTCCAGACGACGGTGGTGGTATTGGGGAGATTGGCGAACCAGATGGCTAGGAGGAAGAGGGAGGAGTTGGTGGGGAGGGGGAGGAGGCCGAAGGCGAAGTCGCCGGAAGGAGAGAGCCAGGAGGGGTTTCTGGCGCCGGCAATAGCGGTGGTGAGGGAGGAGTTTAGAGTTATATTGCTGTGGGGTTGGGCTGATGCAGCTGTGATGGTGATGACGGTATGGAGGAGGAGGAGGAACAGAAGAGGAGATTCCATTGACGGAGATGATGAAATCAGTGGGAAGCCGGATTTTATAAGAGAGAGATCATCGATCGGCAGTGGAAGACTTTTCTCCACTGGAAAGAGAATACGCTACAGCTTATTAGTTAGGATTCTCCTCAAGGACATTTTATCGCATTACCCGCAGTACTAAGATCCTATTCCCAGACAATTTATTAATATTGACGATGCTTGGAATTATTGAGAAGAACAGCAGCCCTCATGACGTTAGGAGAGAAATCCGCGTTAGTGAGATTATTAATGAAAAGTCTTGGTGGCCAAGTCCATTAAAATTTTTAAAGTTCGTTTGTAGACCACGCGCTATGCTAATTTTGATTTCTTAAAGAAGAAAATTAGCTTATATATATATATATATATATATATATATATATATTTGAAAATTGGATTAGACAATGAACCGGAAGAAGTAGAGGATAATAGTTTGATGGTTTAACACGGGTCCAACCAAATTCGAATCGGATGACACAATAAAAATTTATTATATTTAAATTACATAACTATTTGTAAATATATAACAAAAATCAAACATAATTATAATATGAACAACTTAACATTAAATAAAGTAATAAAAAAAAACATTGATATGTCATCAAAAAATTATCTTGATCGGGCATGAATCTCAATGAAAAATCAAGTTGAAAACTTTCGAAATTAAAATTGGGACCATTCGATCTCCGATTTCAACAAACTTATAGTCGAACTGAGCGCCTCAAGAATACGAACCCAAAGACACCAATCCAACCCTTTCCAAGCCAAAACGGGTCCAAATCAAGGGTGAGAAGCGATGTTGGAAGGTTCGAACCACAATTTGGATTACCAAACGGTTTTCAAAAACAAAACGTGCTTATAGTCGAACCAAGCGGCTTAACGAGACGAATCCAATGACCACCGAATTCCGACATCTTTAAGACATCCAAATGTCCATCAAACGGTCCATGATCAAGGGATTCAATATCGGCCTTCCATCCAACCACTCCCCATTTACCCTTGATCTCTCACCTATTTACAGGTCATGTCACTTCATAAATCTATAAATAGACCCCTCATTTCTCTTGAAAGGGGACCCAAGTAAGAAGAGAAGAAGAGAAGAGAAGGAAGAGAAGGAAGAAGCTCCTCCTCGACCACCGCCTAAGCTCCGCCGTACCACCGCCTGACGTCGTTGCTCTGCCGAACCACAACCTAAGGCCCTCACCTTCGTCAGACCACCGCCTCTCGTTGTTGCTCCGCCGAACCACCACCTGAGGTCCTGAGCTCCGCCGGACCACTACTTGAGGCCCTGAGCTTCACCGGACCACCACTTCAAGCCTTCATATTCACCGGACCACTACCTGACGTCGTTGCTTTGCCGGACCACCACCTGAAATCCTGAGCTCCGCTAGACCACCACCTAATGCACTGGGTTCTACCGGACCACCACTTGAGGCCCACACCTCTACTGAACCACCGCATGCCGTTGTTGCTCCACTGGACCACCGTATGAAGCCCTCACCTCCTCCGAACCATCGCCTGACATAGATGCTGCACTAGGCCACCACTTGATGCCCTCACCTCCGTCAGACCTTCGCCTGATGTTGCTACTCCACCAGACCACCACTTGAGGCCCTGTGTTACACCAGGCCACCACTTGAGGCCCGGAATTCTGCCGGACCACCACTTGAGGCCTCGAGCTCCACCAGGACACCACCTGATGCCCGGAGTTCTGCCGGACCATCACCTGAGTCCCGGACTTCTATCGAACCGCCACATAAGGCCCAAAATTCTACCAGACCACAACTTGAGACTCGAACTTCTGTTGGGCCACCACATAACGCCGAGAGTTCTCCCAGAGTACCACCCTTCTACTACGGTCTTTCAAACCCATGTCTCCTACCGACTATGGTCCTTCCAACCTCAATAACTCGATAATAGTCTTTCTGACCTCGGTCTCCTACATACTATGGTCTTTCGGACCCATGTCTCCTGTCGGTTATGGTCCTTCTAACCTCTTTCACCAGACAATGATCTTTCTAACCCCGGTCTCTTACCAACTATGATCTTTTAGACCCCTGTCTCGTGCCGACTATGGCCCTTCCAACCAATCAAATATATCTATGTTGATTATTGTAACACCCTCCATATAATGCACTCTATATGACGTATATTTATGACATCAAGAAAAGGCATTCTCCCTAAGAAGGGACTCATTTATAATCGACTAAAAATACTAGTGGATTCATTCAAACTGGGCCAGGCCCCATAGTTTTTCCCCTTTTCAGGGGTTTCAACGTAAAAACTCTGGTGTCTCTTATGAATGCTACACCCTTTCTCTTATCTGATTGTGTGTTGGATCTGCGTACAACGTTAAGACGTTAAATGCCACGAATACTCCAGGATGCAACAAATATACTAATATTTTTCACTTGAAGACACAAACAATCGTAAAAAGAATTTAACATTTATATCTACTAATAACAAAAATAAAATATATTCATGATATGGAGATGAAGTTAACTATGTTTTACTTTCTCAGTCAATAATTTCATAAAACTTAAAACTCAAATATCTCCTAAATTAGCTTCATCAAATATGTCCACATAAGTTGAGTCTCTAGGTCTCACTGCACCAAACTGTTTAAAACCAAATGCATCTGATTGATCGAGCTCGTTAATGTTGCCTATATCTCTTTCATTCTCTAAGTCACATTCACTAACAAATAAGAAATATAAAACAAGATATTATTTTATCTTTCATTTATATAATATACTCAAATTTTATTATCAACTCACCATGTCATGGAAGATTGGATGGTATGCTTTATTATTCAACAACTAGCATTACATCATCTTTGTATATCTCATTTTTTAAGTCATGTAAATAAAGTTCTGGAGTTATTTCATCTTCAAGTATCTAGTAATCAGCCATTTATATAATTTCTGAAATATTTTTTGGCTGAAGTGGTTAGTACGACTTGTTATGTTATGAATAGGGTAAATATTAGATCTAAGTTGAATAGAAAATCCTATGAAATTCTTAAGGAAAGAACACCAAACCTCTCACATCTATATGTGTTTGTATGTAAGATATTTATTCATAACAATGGAAAAACTTTTTTAAGAAAATTTGATCATAAATCTGATGAGGGAATTTTTATGGGATATTCAAGTGTTGGAAAATCTTATAGAGTTTTTAACAAAAAGACTTTGGTAGTTGAGGAGACCACTGATATAGTTTTTTAATGAATCTAATATTTCTTGAGGGTCTAAATTTGATGAAAAAGATGTTGAAGAAATAATTCAAGGAATTGAAAATGCAAATTTTAAAGAAAGGGTTGAAATATAAAATACATTGCCTAGAGAATGAAAATATTTTAAAAGTCATCCTAAATAATTGATTTTAGATGAACCAAGTGAAGGTGTTAGAATTAGGCATGGACTTAGCAAAGAAACGATCCACTCAGCCTTTATTTCAAAAATTGAACCCACCAATATAAATTAAGCACTTTCTAATGCATTTTGAATTTAAGTCATGCATGAAGAATTGAATCAATTTATTAGAAATGATGTTTGAGAGTTAATTAAAAGACCTAAAAATTAAAGTGTTATTGGAACTAAGTGAGTTTTCAAAAATAAGATGAATGATTCAGGTGTAGTGGTTAAAAATAAAGCAAGATTGGTGGGCAAGGGGTACAATCAAATAGAAAATATTTATTTAGAGAAAATATTTTCCCCTATAACTAGACTTGAAGTGATAAGGGTCTTACTAGTCTTTGCTTGTTTTAAAGGTTTTAAATTATTTCAAATGGATGTTCAAAGTGCATTTCTTAATGGGGTGATATAAGAGGATGATTATGTTGAGCAACCTCCAGGTTTTGAAAATTTACAATTCCTTAAATATGTGTTTAAATTGAATTATATGGACTAAAATATGTACCAAGGGCATGGTATGAAAGGCTAAGCACATTCCTACTAGAAGGTCATTTGTTAAAGGAAGTGTGGATATCACTCTCTTCTTAAAAAGAGTAGGAGATGATATATTCATTATTCAAATATATGTTATTGATATCTTGTTTGGATCTATTAATAAAAATCTTTGTGATAATTTTTTAAAAAATAATGAGTAGTAAATTTGAAATGAGTTTGAAGGGAGACATGAGTTACTTTTTTGGTTTTAGCATAAAGTAGAAAGAGGATGACACATTTTTAAATTAGTCAAAATATATTAAGCACATCATTAAGAAATATAAAATGGATAAAGCTAAACTAATAAGTACACCAATGAGTTCCTCAGTGCAATTAGACAAGGACTCTAAAGGCAAATCTATTAATAAAAAAATTTAAAGGAATAATTAATCATTACTTTACTTAACTGATATCAGACTAGATATCATGTTTAGTGTTTATCTTTGTGCTATATTTCAAGCTGATCTAAAGAAATCCCATTTGACTACTATTAAAAGAATTCCGTGATATCTTTTGGGAACTCAAAATTTAGGGATATGATATCTAAGGCACAGCTCTTCTTTTGAAATTATTGAATATTCTGATTTAAATTTTACAAGATGTAGGATTGATTGAAAAAATACTTCATAAACTTATCAATTCATTAGAAACTCTTTAGTTTCCCAGATTAGTAGAAAATAGAATTCAGTAGCTCTTTCTACTGCTGAAGCAGAATATATTATCTTAGGTAGTTGTGTGTCACATGTTCTTTAGTTAAAACAAAAACTTATAAATTTAGGATTTTTAATTAGTACTATTCCAATTTTCTATAAGAATACAAGTGTCATGTACATTTCAAAGAATCTTATTCAACACTTTAGAACCAAGTATATAAATATAAGGCATCACTTTATTAAAGATCATGTTATTAAAGGAAAAATTGAACTACATCATATAGCAACTGAAAATCAATTTACAGATATTATCACAAAACCAATTGCTTTTGAAATGTTTAGCACCTTAAGAACAAATTTGGCTGTTATTGATATTCATGCTTGATAATTGTAATTCTTCAAAATTCATTTTTGATGTATCTTTTTTTTATGTTTGTGTTTTGTTCATTATGTGTGATTTATTATTTTGTTTGATTTTTATTTTTCTCTATTTTGGTTTATTTTCTCTTTTATTGTATTTTCT